TTCCATTTTCCTCTGAACTGCAAGTCTACAGCACATCACATCGTCTAGTCATGGGGTACCCCCTCCCCGTTTATATTAGGATTTCCTTTATTTGAGTGAGGGAGGACGGGTTTGATCTGCATGTTAGACGTTCTCTTGGAGATGATTTTAAAAAGAGTGCCCTCCATCCAAACGTGTTCATTCTCAGGTCTTTCACGAAGAATAATGCTTGCAGTAATGAACGTGTCCTCTGTCATTATCGGTGAGGCAATTAGGCCGTCCCGTTGCGGTCGGCAGGAGGCCGCAGCCTCATGGTAATCAATCAAGTTCTCTGCGGCGCTGTCAATCAGCCCCTCGCCTGAGTGGCGGCTATTGACTGCGCTCAGCGTGCTGACGCTTTCCTGCTCCGTGGCTTCTTTGGGTTCACGGTAACACAGGCCCGGAGCCTGCTGTTTTTTCATCATAGAGTGGAATTTTTTCATTTTTCTCTGCTTGTGTTGACTCTTTCCCCCTGTTTTATCCTTTCAAGACTATCATAGAAAAATACAGTATTCAACACGAATCCTCCAGAAGGCTTCTTGACTGTGGTTCCAACACATAGTATTCTGCTTTTCATTTTTCTTCCTTCTCTTTACATTTAGACACCTCAAAGTACATCCTGCCAATCCCTGCTACAACCTCAAAACATCCATACTCTGTTTTTTCCTGTTTCTGGCCATATATTTATGACTTCTCAGTGTCAGGAAAGCCTTAACTAATTATCAACAACAAATTGAACTGTTCTACGCATGTCAGAATGACCCCTAATATTCATTTGTTTTTATTACATATTGATAAATGATTATTGTATATATTTATGGCATAGAAAGGGATGCTATGATACATGCTAAAAGGCAGAATGATCACATGGAGCTAATATATTCATTGCCTCAAACACTGATCACCTATTGCTTCTAACTGAAACATTATACCACTCGACCAACATTTCCCCATTCTCTCAGGCCCCAGGATGGTCCTAACCATTACCCCAACCTAAAATAATCTGCTCCGTAGCCCAGTGCCTCCAAACTTTGGTTTAGAAAATCCAGTCAAAGTAAACTTAAATTAGCTTGTTTTAAGTAGTCATGGTATTGACACGTTTCTACTATGTGCACTCAGAATCATCAACACTAGAAAATATCTATTTCAATTAGAAAGTGTGTCTCTACTTTCTGTAAACTAAAAAGAGATCTTACTGCTGCATGGTAAACTGGAGGCACTGGCCAAGGCCCGTTTGGAATCTGCTAGCATCTGTGCCTGTCCCCCACTATCATAACAGGTGCAGGAGCTAGAAAGTGAGCTGGCAAGGGCACGCACATGCACACGCACACACACACACACACACACACACACACACACACACACGCCTATTCCTTATCCATCCTCAAACTGATCACAGAGGAACCTCAGCCAGGACAGCAGGAGGACTGTCAAGGAAAGATCCTTTGCAAAAGAATCGGCTTTCAAAAGTCCTGTGTTTTTATTTTCCTGGTTCAACTACGCTTGGAAATCACCTTCCTCAGGGAACAGCCCAGGTTACTGGCAATTTGTTACCAGTATTTTGTCAGCTTTCCTTATATGCACAAAAAGTGAGAATATGGCTGTTTATTAATTTTTTTCCATGAAGAGGGATGTTGCTCAAAATGAAAAGAATAGAGGTTACACAACAATTTCTCAATGAGAAACCAAATACTTTCTTTACAAGGGTTTCTTCAAAAAGCATGTTTGAGCTACCTTACTGTTAAGATGGCAGCACAAACAATAGTCTTAACACAGCTTAAAAAAGAAAATTAGCCAGGTACTGTGATGGATGCATGTAACACCAACTGCTCAGAGGCTGAGACAGAAGGATAACAAGCTCAAATCCAGGCTAGACAAGTTAGTGAGAAACTGTCTCAAAATAAAACGGCGCTAAGATGTAGCTCAGCTGTCTGTGATTCAATTCCTAGGACTGGAGAAAGCAAAGAAGACAAAGATGGAGGAGAAGCAAGAAGGGGCAGAGGAAGGGAGAGGGGGAAGAGAAGTAGAGAAAGAAGAGGAAGCAGAAAAGGAGGAGAAAGAGGAAGAGAAAAGAGAACAGATCAACTGGAAACGGGGCAAGCTATGGAAAAGGTGTTAGGGAGACACAACTGTAACTGACAGTCATGGTACTACATACAGCACATGTATTCTCTTTCTAAATCTTCATGGCAACCCTGTGAGACAGGTCCTACCATTGACATACTTCACAGATAAAGAAGCTGAGGCACAGTGAAGTTGATATTTCAGCCAGGAAGCAGCACAGCTAGCACTTGAACCCAAAGTGTCTTACTATAGCGCCCCAGTTCTTTTAGCACTTTGTTAATCTGCTTAGTCAGTCTGGGCTCAGCACTGTTCAATGAGAAGGCTCTATACTATGCCTGGATACCAAACCCTTGTAGTTAAAAATCTTTTGTTTGTGTATCTACCAAAAAGCTCTCACGTATAATTTGGCCTCCACTGCTATTGAGAAAACAGAGAGGATTTTGTAAGCCCTAGGACAGTTGATGCACTTCTCTCAGTCTCCTGAACAACTGCCATCCACTTTGGACCTGAGCATTCCCCAAACTTCCAAACTGGGACAGATCCTGGGAGGCCTCAGTTCTACATAGCCCTTCTCTATGCAATCTTTCCCTGTTCCAACCTCCAATTTGAACTATTTCCCCTTAGAAACCAAAGCATAATTTCACTCCTTAACTATGGAAAGATGGCAGTGGCAAATAGTTGCTAACACTCTGACAACCTCACCTTCCATTGTTTTGAGGACATGCTGCTCTTTCCTCTCCATATTCATACATTTCATTAAAAGCAAATGTCTTCATCCACCTTTTTCACTGGTTCTGGCACAGTGCAATTTCTAGCACCTCCCAAAGCAAAAATGACTATGAAAGGTAAATGTTTGGAATCATCTCAGGACACTGAGACAGCTACAACATTGCAACTAGAGACACTCAAGAAACAAGTCCCACAGAACTGTTTCAGAAAATGGCAAGAGCAATGGAAGAAGTGTGTTCAACATGAGTAGAAGTATTTTGAGAGTGATTATAGGCCATGTGTCTTTTAGTTTCATTATCCATCATATTTTTCAATCACACTACTACATATGTATTATCACTATATCAACTCGTCTTTGTCCAGTTTCTAGACTTTATTGAGAAGAAACAAGTAACAGCCAAGCCAGTCCTTTAGTCATTATGCCAACAAAATCCTACGGCAAAAAACAAACAAACAAACAAACAAAAAAAAAAAATATATATATATATATACACACATACACACATAGTAATACTTTGGTTCATAGATGCTTCTGTTTGCAAATAATTCAGTTCTCAAACAAAAGCATTCAACAAAATTTTGCTTCTGCTCTCAAACTCCGTATCGGGTGCCAAATGTGGCCAACTTCCCCAGACAAATTACAAATGTGGCCCATCTTCCCCAAAATTGTAAAGCAAATTAAGTTCATAAACCAAGGTACCAAGAGATAAATAGATACAGATATAAATATAATCTACTATAAAATACATTTTATCTATTTTACCTAAGGGAGAAGGCTCTGCCTGGCACGAGCCTTTATCATGTCCGTGACTGGCTTTTCCCCAAAGGATTGCCCTGCCCACACCCCTTCTAAGAGCCATGACTCAAGAGCAGGCATGACCTGACTCCACAGGAAAACTTGTGAACCAGTGGCAGCCAATCTTAAGGCTCACAGCCACTTATCTAGGTCTGACATGAAAAGAGAGCCCAGCCCATTGGGGTCTTCTCTTGGCAATTTGACTAAGAAATTCTCAGGAAAGGAACTAGTGAACAATGGTTCTGAGGGGGACATGAGATTGGTTGGCCAGGGTGAGCTCTGTGCACACTGACATTGTGCAGGGTAGAAAGGCATAGCAGAGAGGGAAGACATGGTTGGAAACAGAGTAGACACATGGGGAAAGCCTGTGCCAAGGAGACCTGGTTTTCATGAAAATGGTTTTTATAAGTATGGTGGAGAAAGGATGAAGGATGCCTGAGGCTTGGGAAGTAGGGACGACAACCCGGTTATCAAGGGAAGGTAGGAATAAGCACATGGCTGCCTCTAGCCCCGCCGCAAAAGCCAATATTGATATCCTCTGTAATAACACACATGATGTTCTAAATTCTCACCAATAACAACTGCCTTGAAGTCAAACTTCTCAACTAGCCACAACTATAGAAGAAAGGAATCTTTCCTCTATCTCTATCGGGCAAGGATTTATTCTTTGTTTTGAGGACAGCTTCCTGCAGCTGATCACAAACCAGAAGGGGTAAAGAGATTATCTCCCTAGTATGACAGAAAGTGGAATAAACAGGAACCTAACATCCACTCCATTTGTCCAGAAGTCAACACACTACACTGTTGCCAAACATAGCCATTCTATCATTGCTCCTTATTATCATGCACTATGGACAGTCCTCACTCCAAAAAGTGAGGCTCCACTTTCATCTCAACTGTGACCTTGAACTGAACGCGAAACTGTCCACTGCCCCATTAATTTACAGGAAATTCCCCCATGTGAAGCAAACACATTTCTTTTCCAGTGTGTCTGCTTAAATGACTTCTTCCTCCATTCCTTGGGAATCCTCCACTCTCACTGCAAAAACCGGACACTGAAAGGGGTTACTGAAAGTCAGTCAAAAGCAAAATTAAAGCACAGTTTCCGAGGCTTGCCAAGTGTACAGGAATGACTTCATGCCTTAATGGAGCCGTGAACACAATGGTGTAAATGTAGCAGTTGGCATGTGGCCCACAGGTCTCATTAGTTTACAATTATACCCAGATGTCAAATATCAGTGCTGGCATTTAAACCTATGAGTTGGTGAGTGTTTAAAATGGTACACGTCTGCCTTCTGCAAAAGTTTAAGTGAAGAGAAGACAGGTCTGTTTAACACAGCATGTGTTATTTTCTAACTAGCCAGTGATAAGAAAAAATTATACCGGTACTTACTATTTATAACTCATGGCCACATCCACAAAATACTTTCTTCTCTGTCGATAGACATCGTCCTTAAATCCCTTAAACAAACAAACAAACAAAAAGATTAAGTTATTTAACAAAGTGCCAAAAAATTAGCTGCAGAAGGCCTAAAAGGAAATCACTGTGGTATTTATTTAGTGTTCAATTCAAATGTAAATCTTATCCTCAGATGACTGTCTTGATGTCATAGGCAAAAGCAAATTGTGCTAACAGTAAAACCTCACTCAATTTGAGCTCTACTAATTTGGGATGTGTGGGAATTCAAGCAAAAGTTTACCTTTCCACTAAGTAAGCAGAATGACTTAGTTAAACAAATTGAAACTTTGAACAATATCTTTTGGTTTCCAAGTACCATTCTCATGTAATTGATCCTAATCACAAGTCATTTTTCCCCCCTTTGGTTTTTTGAGACAGGGTCTCACTATGTAGTTGAGATTGAACTGGAATTCACTATGTAGCCCAGGCTGGTCTCGAACCCACAGTGATCCTCCTGCCTCAGCCTCCCGAGTGCTGGGATTACAGGCGAGCGCCACCACGCCCGGCTCTTGTCCTATTTATTAAAACAAGTCTTGGACCAGGGTTTTAGCTCAGTGGTTCCAGCACCTGCCTCACAAGTGCAAGGACCTAAGTTCAATCCCTGATAACCAAAAAAAAAAAAAAAAAAGTCTCTCAACATGGTTGTTCAGTAAATTCATTTAATTCTAATTGCTCTGTGTAAATAATTAATATAACATTTACTAAAACCTCTGTTAGAATAATCATCAGATCCTCAAATTAGTATGAATTAAAGAGGTTTTACACAATGCAAAATCAATAAGGGATCCATGCATACATAGGGCAGCACATCAGTCCATCTCATTCTGAGTTACGACCATTCTAACACATCTCGGCCAGTTCAGCTAAGATTTTTATCTAGCATCATTTACTTGGAAAGTTAAACACCGTGTCTGTCATTCTTTTCTTTTTTTTTTTTTTTGGTACCAGGGATTGAATTGAGGTCCTTGTGTTTGCAAGGCAGGCGGCAGAACCACTGAGCTAAATCTCCAGCCCTGTGTCTGTCATTCTTCAGTTGAGTGGAAACCTTCTGAGAGGACTTCCTAGTTTATGCAACAATTCGTCCTCTAGCCAACAGACTTCCCATTTTCCTTTCCTCCCCTCCCCTTACTTTCAATCAATTCTTTCTCGGGTTGTTCTTTCTGCTGCGGTAGCTGCTGGATGCTCAGAAGAAATGGTTTCCACTTAACTTCTTATCTCTACAACCCCACAACCCCAAGGGTGAAGAAAGCAGTGGCCAGGCAAGACGATAAGCCACAGGGACCATGGTATTTGAGGGTAAAAGAGCAAGGACAAGGCCCACAAAGGTCCATACTACCTCTGGGGCAACACAGACATTTCTGCAAGGTGGACTGATGAAGAGGACCCCCAAAGAAGAACCCTAAATACACTAGAAAATACCCCTATTCTCTTGTCTTGTTGAAAGAAAAGGGGTCTCCAAACCCAGGAACTTCTCAGGGCTGTCTGCTACACAGAAATGAAGACTGACCTTCCTTTCAGAATAACAAGAGGGGCTGGGGATTTAGCTCAGCAGTGCCTCACCTGCCTGGCAAGCACAAGTTCCTGAGTTTGAACCCTGATACCACACACACACACACACAAAACAGACTAACAAAAGAGTTACAACACAATAAATGCCTTGAGATCACCATAACACCCAGAAGAAATGAAGTCTCTTCTACCCAAAACTAGCACCTTCTGTCTTGTGCTGTGGATTTGGAGTTTTTTAACTGGGGTTCATAGACAGGCTTGTGAAGCTCTAAAATGTCTACAGTCAAAATTTTGTGACCATAGCTACCACATTTAGCGTCTGTAGCCTAAACAACAGTCCTGCTGTAGAAGGTAGATATAGTCAGGGAGAAAGTAAATTTCAACACTGACTAGTAAAACCAGGTTACCTAGGGGTAGGAAAACTGAAGAACCCCAAGCACCTTTGTTATTCAAAAATAAAATAGGCCATGACAAAGGAGAAAGAATCCTGTGAAAACACAGCATCTGTTCCTTGATTCCTGCCAGACCGGACACCATGGTAACAGCATCGTAATCTGCTGGCCTTCCAGAAGAATCTCAACTGTTTCTCCTCAGCAAACACCTGCACCTTTTCCAGGGACACAAGAGAGAGATTTACTCATCATGCCTCATTAGCCTGGAGTGGCAGTGATTACAAAAAATGTTGTGGGCAATCCAGAGCTTCCTGGATTGAACCACAGACTGGCAAAGTAAGAGATGCTGGCTGCACTAGCGATTACAGACACCACATAATTTGGCCATTCATTCTGAATGGAAGCCAGAGGTAGGATTACCAGACAACATACAGAATGCCCAGTTAAATTTCAATTTCAGATAAACAACAAATTTTTCCAATTTAACTGAGCATCCTATATATTTATTCATACAATCTGGCAACCCTACACCCTGAGAGTACCTGCTGTACAAATTCACCCTGTCTCCCTCAGTTTAAATCAAAGGTAATTGGAGACCCAGCTAAAGCCTAAAGTACCTGGCCCAATTTATGCTGACACTGAAGTAGACATCCCAAATAGCTCAATCCTGGTGGGATGCTAGACTCATCTGGGGGACTCCAAACATGGCCATATTCCCAGAGATTCTAGTTTCAGCTTCCTGGGATGAGGCACTGGCATCAGTGTTTTGTTTTGTTTTGTTAACACCCCACAGACGATGTGAATGGGAAACTAAAGCTGGGACTCACTGAGCTAGGACATTAGTTCTCACACTTAGAGCTCATCAGAATCTCCTACCAGACCTTTCACAGGAAGATTCCCGGGTCTGTCTCTGAAAGTTCTGACTCAGTACGCTTCACACAAGCCTCAAGATGTTATAGTCTTAACAAGTACTTTAGGAACAGACCTTTATCACACTTTGAAAGACTCAGTCTCACTCTGGCTGGTCCCCATCCCCTCCAGGGATGAGCCCGCACTAGCTCAGTAGAAATACAGAATCCTAAAACCTATTTACATTTTTAGGTGGTCTCCCAGTGACTTATTTTCCATTAAACTTTCAGAGGCACTGACCTAGATACTGAATGCTTTCTAAGGAATCCTAACAACAGGACTTATATACCAAGCCCTTTCTTAATACCTTAATGCAAGGGCCCCTGAGTTCATCTCAGAACTGTGATTATTCTTTGTCATAAAAAGTGCTTAGACAACACTTTTCTTCATCAAATTAGAATTTATAAAAACACCAACTTATTGATATCAGATTTTGTATAATGAGCATTTGGCATGCTTATAAAAGAAATGTAGTTTAAAATGACAAGAGAGGTATGGGTTGCTAAGTACTTGCAATTATTTCAAGTGGCTGCACAGAAAATAAGAAGGTATCATAAAGTGGGTGTAATTAGGAATAATGGAATAAAATTAAGCACAGGAACATTTACTCTTGGTGTTGGAACAAATTTTTTCATAGCAAGGTCAGTGGTTTCTGTGGTTTTCCCAGTCAAATGGCTGATCTTCTTTCTCCAGGTTGAGTAATTTTCAATCAAGACTAAAGGGATCATTTGGAAATAGGTTACTGAAAGACCCTTTACTGTCCAGACCCTGATCTGGATGATTTAATACAGCATTTTCAATACTGGAAATAAGCATTTACTCTTGCCAAAATGCCTTCCAGTTGTTTTATTAACTAGGCTTTTGAAACACCCCTTCAAGGTCAATAAGAATTTTATTTCCACTTTTTACATAAAGAATGAGGTACACAGGTAGAGGGACTAGCCCAAGGTCATTCTGCAAGTTAAAAGCTGGTGTCTCTGCAGCCCTAGTCATGATAATCTCTTAAATCAGACCTCTGTGTTAAATCTAACTCCTCTGGAGTTGGGAGTAGAAGATAACAAAAGGATGATTATCAAGGCCATTTATGAATGTTTTTCTGATGTTCAGGAGACTTACATGCTAATTACTGTGAAATACTCTGAAGTCATATGCTACCCTGGCAAATAGAACACACTGGTTCATGTATGAATTCAGCTTTTTAAAAATAATGTGACCGAAGATCTTGGGATTTAGCTCAGTGGTGCCACTGCCTGCCTCACAAGCGCAAGATCTGGAGTTCAATCCCTGGTATCAAAAACAAACAAACAAACAAAGGGCCTTTTAAAAAAATAAATAAATAAAACAAAAATAATAATAATAATGCAACTGAATTAAGTCTGTTTGGTCATTTATTTGAATGACATATTCCAACTGATTTGAATTGCTATATCATGCAAAATTACTAGTGGCTGAAAATTTCTCTAATGTTGAAGTTCTCATAGTTTCCCTTAAAAGAATGGTTCTCGAGGGCCAGGGATTTAGCTCAATGGCACCGTGCCTGCACTGCAAGCACAAGGTACTGAGTTCAATCCCCCAAAAAAAGAATGGTTACCAAACCTAAGTGTAGACTGCTTAGTGCGAGTGTCTAGGTGAGGCTGATGCTGCAAGATCTGCACTCATACTTTAAAAGCCACTGCATAAGAGTATGGTCACACTACCAGATTCCCTGACGTTAATAGTGTGACTCTTTATAACCTATTACCCTCATCACACAAAGCCTTCCTATCTGCTTGGATTTCCCTCTTTTATCCATTTTCAGACAAGGGGCACTAAGGGAGGAAGACACTGCTTATAACAAATGGGTGCATTGCTTACCTCTCCCAGGCTATTAACTGTACTTCATTCTGATCAAAAAGAAGTTCCAGGTCTCTTGTGTTAAATAAAAATTTATATAAAGAGGGGAGATGGAAAACAAAGGGAAATGCTTATACAAGTATCATATTTCTTTAAAGATGGTCATTTTTATTGGAGGAGAGGAGAGGATGGTGGTAGATAGATTCAGGGTAGAGGTGGGGAGAGATACATCTTCCATCACAGCCGTATTTTAAAACCTTCTGCCTTTCCATTGAAACTGAAGTCAACTACATTACTCTACTCCTAACTACCTCCAGTCAAGGAAAATGGCAAGAAAAATTCTATTCTCTCGCTGAGCCCCATCATGCCTAGTCAGTCCTCTCTAGTATCCCAAAGGTGTGATCGATTACAGTTAATCATTTTTCCAAGGGTCATATACAAGTATATTTCAGTCTGTCTAACTCCACAGAAATAATCTTCAGGGTGCAGAATCTCCTCCTCTAACCAACCCTTTAAAAAATAAATGTTATGTGGAAATGCCATCTTTCTAACCTGCTTCTAGCCAACATATGTGTACTGGGAAGCTTCATCATCACTAAGTCTGCTCTCGGTTATGAAGGATACATAATAAACTGCTGAACAATAGAACATTACAGCTCACTGCTTGGCCTATGGGCAGAGCTGCATGGATCTGACATGGATATTGCCAGATACTTACTGGATGGTCAGCATCAAGCTCAGTACCATACATGAGAACTCTGTGAGAGCATCTGTCCAACTCGGAGATCTTCCGGGGGAACCAAGGCACATCCTCTAGCTCTGTTAAAAACAGTGCAAGTTCAAAACTATTAGCTTACAGATTGTGTTTTCCCTTCACAACGTTTGTCAGATTGCAAAAGTCACTCAACAAGCAAAAACTGCCCTTGCCTTCCTCCTCTGTCCAAATGTTCTCGGGTGGATTCAGCGTTACAATGGTGGTTTGAAATTTCAGCAACTGAATGAGCTCGCTGAATTCTGTTTTACTGCACTCACAGTCCACGAAGATTTCAACCTCAGAACTTCTTCGCCGGGATCTCCTGGATTCAATATGAACCATGTTGATATGTTTTTCCTGTGGAAACATTAAGTGACATCTTTAACTCACACTCAGGTAACAATAAGAAAAAAAAATGGTTTTTTTGCTCGATTCTTAAGCAACAGTGTCACGTACCCACAAAAGAGAAAGAGAAAATGATGACTTTCTTATTCTTTGGTTGACTAACAAGTATTTCCAACTACTGTCTCCATAAGAAATCTGTATTACTTACCTCTATGCAGGTTGTCTTATCTCATAAAAGAAAAAGTGGAGGGCATTTAAAATAGAAAAAGGACCCCATAAAATGTATCATAATTATAAACATCAGCATTTCCCAAAATGGTCCATATCCCACTGGTGATATATGACTATTTTGGAGGAAAAAGAACTGTAACTGTCCACTACCTTATGTTATCATCTCATCCCAAGATTTGTACTTTATGTTTTTTAAAAACAAAACTCAAACTCACAATTTTATAGTGAAGTAAAACTTCCGCTTAATGTTTTTAAATGAAGCAATCTTTTCAAAAATGAGTGACTAAAAGAAAAAAACAGGAAGAAATTGGGAAGGTGATATGAAAATGCCTGAGTATTTGAGCATAACCTAAATCATAACTAAGGAAAGCAGTCAAGAGAGATTCTATACATATATATTTAAAAAAGCAAAAGGAAATCAAACCAGTAACTTACTTATGGCACAGTCAGAAGGCAAAACAAAAGGTCAAAAATAATAATATCCCCTAAGTCTAACCACTTAGTAATTTTTTCTTTTGGCAATTTCCAGGCTAGCTTTGTCCAAGAATGTGTTACTACAACTATCATCCTATGATGAATTTCAGAGGTAAAAATCTCCTTGCAATAAGCTATCCAAGGGACAAAAGTAATTTAATGCCTAAAAATCAAGTTTAAATTTCCCCAGTTGTCTTTCTCTTAAATTAACCGAAGACCGAGTTCTCCACTATACTCCTATAAGCAGACACCTCTCCTCCACTCCAGATGGTACACTCTGATTATCAGCCCAAGTCCCAACACAATCCTGGATGATCTCAGAATTTTCAACATAGGAGCAGGATAAGTACTTTTCAGTGCATTAATAGGCTCAAAACAAACAGCATCCTCTCCTGATAAAGAAACAAGTCTTGTAACCAAGAAGCTAAATGTTCTGTCTGCTTTTATTAGCCTTTACAATAATGCTATATTTTCCAAATTGGCTGATAATAAAAGTAACATTAATATCAAGTTCAAGGTTCAAGTAATTTCATATACATTGTATCACTTTGGACTTTTAATATCCATTGGTTGAAGTGGCTTAGCTTACATTAGCTGTGGGCAGAGTGAAAACTTAGAGCTGTTAACTCCAGGGATTTTCCCACTGCACCCAGCTGTCTAATTGAATTGGCTTGCCTTTGGGCTCAATGTGGACACAGCCGTAGATGACATAATTATGTGTAAAATACTACTCCAGATTTCCATTACCATTGTTTATGGTACTTGATCTTTTCTTCAAGGTCAAATGGTAATACTTGCCAAATAAGGCTAATTTCCCTTCTATGATCATCATAGAGGCATCATAATAATGCCTCATTTCCGCATGCTTCACAAAGGACTTTTGTTCATATTATTTCATCCCACAACCCAGTGAGGTAGGAATTATTGCTGTTTTACAAATGAAGAAACTGAACCTTAGAAGCTGCTAATAATTAACCAAACCAAGAGAATACAGGTCTGAATCCCTGGATAGTAATTCTGCCTTTTTCCACAGCATAGCAGCTCCAGGCACCAGGAAGAGATAGGCTCCTTATCTTTCCACCCTAACAAACAGCCATGCCCCAAACAAAATGCATTCAGTAAGGTAGGGTGCGTCTGTAGAAGGTGGGGGGGTCTATGAGCAATAGCTTTCCTGGCCTTTTCTAGCCTCGTCCCCTCCCTGGCTCTTTCTTGAAGGCTCAAACCACAGATTTGAGCCTGAGAAGATGCTACTAAATTTCTATGAGGTACAGGGAGAGCTAGCCTTACAATTTATGTATACGGAGAATCTCATCTTTTAAAAAGATGCATTAAGATCATGAAGCAATTAGTCTTAGCAGAATATCAGGTGCATCTCACTTTATGCGATAAACTCTCATTACATGTGCACGATTCAAATTTTAACAAACCAAATCAAACTTCAGCTTCTTCCTATTTACAGATACCCTCTTTGGCTTCTTTTGTGTTTGCATTTTCAACTGTAGTGCTCACGTTTTTGAATTATGAACTTTCTCACCTGGCAACAGTCTACTGAGTTCCTAATAGGCTAGCTCTGCATTAATAAATCACAGTTCATGCAGATCTGCTTATTTCATTGTTTGGCAGACAAACTTGTTTTGTAAAGTCTCATGAAATTTGGTTCCTTTGAATCTTTCACCACATTATCCAGGAAATGGCTCAGTAATGTTTCAGAACAGATGATAGGTTTATAATGAGGTGCACAGTCACTTTTAAAGTTATGTGCTGATATTTTACATTCACCTGAAAGAGCCTCAGTGCTTTTACCAATCCACCAACTTCATTTTTCAAGGAAAATATGACAGCCGTCTTGCCACTCTCAGCGGAGGTTTCACTTTTGCTGCTTCCTTTGTTGCCTTTCTTGTCATCATTTTTGCTAGAACTAGCTTTATTTAGCTTCAAGAAATCAAAAACACAAAAATTATTAGTATTCCAGAGTTTTCCATAATTAGATTTTTCTCCATATATTTTATTCATAACCTGGAAGCCCTACCAATCACAAAAATTCAAGGTGAATTTGCCATGATACTCATAACTTCATTCTAAATGTTAGCTTACTCCACTCCAGTACCCTATTTTCAGTGCTCTAAAATAGAATCCAGTGGCTAAAATTAAAGAGAAATTATATTTGCTTCAGTTCAATGGCAACAAAATTCAAATCATCCTTAAGCATGAAAAATCATGTATGAATAATTCCTGCCTTTTTTCGTGGATTTTACAGCATGAAGTTTGATCTTCTGGCCTAAATGAATCAGTTATATATAAAGTACATTTATTACTAACCATAGCAAAAATAAAATCCAACATATATTTTTAAGAGTGGTAAATTTAGCTTCAGTTAAATCTCAAATAGAAGATACCTATTTCACGTTGAATGTGTAAGGACATGAGGCTGAAATGGATAGCCTTGCTTTCTGCAATTAAATCCACATTGTCACATGAATGTCAGTGTGACTCTACGGCACATGGAAGAGATCTGGCCCACAGGCGATCTGCATCAGATCGAAAAGTGACTATTATATTCAGCCACAAATAAGAGGAGGGAGAAGGAAGAAGAAAAGAAGGAACAAGCAAGCTAGCTAGCTAATCCTTAGCAGCAAACAACAGAATCAGAGTCATAACAATTGATTCTAGCAACTCAGATCACATTGTTAGAAATACAAAATGTTTTAAAATGAGAAAATGTTCATTGATGCACAATGCAAAACTATGATGACTTATTTTACATTCTTTATACGCAAATAATAGAGTTGAGCAAACAGAACTATCCCTCTGGAAAACACTGATGTAATCACATCAATCTGTTATATCCTCATAAAACAGAGAAACAGACTTTTCATGTGGAACCCAGTGAATAGCGATTTGCCATTATCTTCCTCTGATTTCTCTACTGGCTTTACGTTTACACATTAGTATTGCCTTTCTTTCTAGATTTATATATAATAGAACGATTTTATTGTTTATGACTTGGGAGAGAAGCAGACACTGACATTTGACAGTATGTTTAGTCATTAAAAGCTCAAATGTCTTAGTACTCTCAACATCTGCTTCCTCTTCACCACATAACACACAAACTTCATTTAAGTGCCATTTTTTATATGTAAAGGACTTACATTAACCATAACTCTGAGATTTCTTTGTTTTCCTTCTAGCAGTTCATTATGACTTCCAAACTCCTCAATATAATATCTTATCCAGAGACTCATTTTTAAATATTATAAAATCTATTTATATTTTTGGCCTGATTTTTGCAAATTAACTTAAATAGTTCTACACAAGTTGCCATGCTTACTTTCTAACATTTTTAGTAGGATAATATGCAACCCTCTGGCACATATTTGGAGCTACAATATTAAAATAGACTTTTCTATAACAAAATGAATTGAAATTTGTTGATAAACTGATAGTTCAGCAGTGAAGTGCCATTTAATATTTTTTAATGACTAGGAACCTGAATACATTTCTACTTCATAGCTATGAAATAAAAGTATTGTTTTTTAAAAATCTTATGATTATTACTTCAAATCAGAACCTAAAATTCTTTTTCCTCTGATTAATATTTTAAATACTAAAACTCCTTTATATATGAAAACAAGTAAAATATTGCTTTCATTTCTCCATCAATTAAATTTTTTTAGATGGAATAACAAGGCACAGGAAAACTTTTGAAAGGAGCTTGATCCTTGCTTTATTACAAAATCTGTAGTCAAGAATACAAAATATTAGTTCTGTGCTTAAAGACTGGTCATTGAAGACTTGAACGAGGTGTGGGAGACATTATGGTCTTAGGAAAACCACAGTAAATGATTTAATTCCTTCTTCGAATTCCTTCTCATAATAAATAGCCTTTCAAAGTTCAATGAATTTTGGATATAGGACATTGTTTCATACAAACTCTCATTCTTAATGTTTAGAAACTTTCCTATTTTGTGAACAGAAAGTTAAGCACACAATGATCCCAACACCTGCTTTACTTTATGGAAAAAGATGGACAGAAATGCAGCAGGGAGGTAAGACAATGAAGGAAGGAGGTGAGGTGTGCTTACTCCACACCAGGTGTCCATATGGTGAGGAGCAGACGTTCGCTACCCTAGAAAACACTCTAGAGACTCCCAGATACTCAGTACTCACTGTTAAGCTGCCAAGTAGCTGATGCTCTTCAGGCACTGCTGAATCCAAGGAAAACCCTCTTCTTGCCCAGTATTTACTGGAAAACATCATCATTGCCGGCTGCATGGGTCCGGATGTAATTTTTCTCTCTCAGCAGCAGCAGGGGTACTAGAGGGGCAGTAGCAGCGCTGGCAGAAAAGGTGAGAGGAAGAGGTGCGCTTCTGCAGCGTGCCCAGGGTGCTGTCCAGAACCCTGGTGTTCAAGAGCAATTCAAATCTTCCCCTCCCAGACTCCTTTATATGAGTGACTGGGGCCTGATGGAAAGCTGATTAGAAAGAAACTCATTTCTGGTTGCTGATGGCCACAGTCAGATTACAGATCTGAAGCCTGGGGTTATCTGTGCTCAAGACACAATTTGTTTGTTTCATAGGGCGACTAGCCATTTGGGCAGAGGTGGTAGAGCAAAACGCGTAGAGGGATGTATTTGTAAGAGAAAACATCTGTCCTCTGATGTTAACTCTCATCTCTCAAGTCTGCTATTGGCAGGTCAGCCTCAGTTTTTAAGTACCTATGAACTGGAAGGTTTTGTGCTTTTTTTTCTAAATGTAGGAAAATACAAAACATCAGCACTGCTGAATCCTTCAACTATTTTATGTTAATATGCATTTTTCAGACTTGGTGGGCTACAGCCATGTGTGAACACATTCTGTATGTACAAGTCTGTATGATGGCTTTCACAACGAGTACTGCTTGCTAATCCTATGATGTCTGTATGTACAGTGATGTTCAGGCCATTGTACTGCAAAGGAAACATGAAGCTTTGATTTAGCCACATACAGATGTAGCTCAGACACTAACTCTAGACTCTTCCTGAGTGGGAATAAAAGGAAATTAATTGCTATATATTAGTCATTCCTTTAATGCTCTTGACCATCACTGGATTTTTCCTCTCTACTTGTAATTACACCAAATCCAGCAATTGCCATGCATACATAGATCAAGTTATATTCTATTTAAACTTTACAAAGTCATAAAATTCACTATGCCACAGGAAAATCTTACCAATCTTCTGAAGAATGGAAAACTCTTAACCAACTGTACTTAACTAAAAACTAAAAGTCTTGGGCCAGCACAGTTCACATCTATAGAAAACAAGATAATAAAAATTTTTAAACAGGAGTAGATGAAATAATATTGACTGTATTTGAATTTTTCCTGAAATTGGGATATTTAATTACATTTGATCTAATTCTGAAAATAATCATTTGATTTTTTATTTCCCTTATAGATCAGCACTGATCAGCTTATAGGAAAGGCAAGTTTAAATAAGTTGATAGAAGTAATGATAAAATAACAGCTAATATTACTAAATGCTTAACACTTGCCAATATCTATTTTAAGACACCCCCCCTTTTGAGATAGGGTCTCACTTTGTAGTTCAGGCTATTCCTGAACTCACGATGTAGCCCAGGCTGGCCTCAAACTTGAGACAATCCTTCTGGCTCAGCCTCCTGAGTGTTGGAATTACAGATGTGTGTGCCACCACACCCAGCTCTAAGCATTTTATGTAGACTTATGGGGGTTAAAATGTGTTTGATTCTATTGTTGTTGTTGATTGTATCACTTGGGCTAGTGTGATTTATCTAATCAGTTATCTTTCCTGGTATAATGAAAATGAGATTGCCCCAGAGTTATTAGAGACTCAAATCCTAAAGGTCAGCTATATCTGGAAGACATTTCTGAGAAGCAATCACTCCTTAAGGGTTCTAAATGCAAGGAAAAAAGATATCTACAATAGGTAATATCTAAGTATCAACCCAGGAATTAAACCAAGAGCGATACCAACAACAATAATAGAAATGAAAAGACATTTAAACCAGACACAGTCTTTCAGCTTACCTAAGGCAAATTCTGGGATAAATGGGATGGAAAACTCTGATAATCAACTACCTGGGACAATCTAAACTGATAGCACAGGAAGTAAAAAAACAGGTGAATGAGACTGTAGAATTACTCAAAACAGAAATCATTTCTGAGATAAAAGACATAAACTCTAGAATAGAAACAGATTTAAAAAAATAGATGAGTTCAGGACCATGATGAAAGCCACAAATGCTCAGCATAGAAAAGAAATGGAAACCATGAAACAGATTCAAACTGATATTCAGGATATTAAAAACTCTATTAAAAATATACATAGCAAACTAACCCAATCTGAAGACAGAATATCAGATACAGAAGACAGGATGGTGGTCAGTGACCATGAAAAGAGAGATCTCTTAGAAATAGTCAGGGAACATGAGAAATCAATCCAACAGCTCCTAAATGACACAAAGAAGAATAATATAAGATTAATAGGAGTCCAAGAAAAAGCAGGAGAAAGCACAAATGACATAAAAAGCTGATCACAGAAGTAATAGCAGAAAACTTCCCAAACAGCAAAAGAATTTGACATCCAGATAAGTGAGGCATATAGGACTTCAACTAGCTTTGATTTAAAAAAAAAAAAATCTACACCTAGACATATAATAATCAAGATTCCGGAAACCCAAACGAAGTACAAAATACTACAAGCAGTTAGAGAAAAGAAACAAATCACATGCAAAGAAAAGCCCATCAGAATCACAAAAGACTTTTCAACATAAACCCTCAAATCAAGGAGAGCCTGGAGTGAGGTATTTCAAGCTTTAAAAGAAAACAACCTCCAACCTAGGCTGATGTATCCTGCAAAACTATCTTTCAAAATTGATGGAAAAATAAGATACTTTCATGACAAAGAACACCTGACAAACTTCATGAATACCAAACTGGCACTCCAAACAACTTTTAAAAGTATCTTTAAAAAAGACAATGAAGGTCACAACTCCATGAGGCCAAACAGAGCAAATCCAATAGGCAAGAATTTAAAGGGAGAAAAATAAAAAAGAACCAACAATAGGAAAATAACATGACAATGGTAAGTCAATACATATTAGTTATAAACATCAATGTCAATGGCATTAATTCACCAATCAAAAGAAACAAGACTGGCAAAATGGATAAAAGAACAAAATCCAACAATATGCTGTAACAAATCCTCAGTAGCACAGGAACTAGCACAAAGAATCAACAATTGGAATCTCATCTTTTTAAAAAACTTTCTGCACTGCCAGAGAAATCACAAGTAGAGCTAAGAGACAGCCCACAATGTGGGAAAAAATTTTTACCAGCTTTTCCTCAGCCAAAGAGGTCTACTATCTAGACTAAAGAACTTAAAAAAAAAAAGAACTTAAAACAACCAGACCCCCCCCAAATATAAAGACCCGATTCAAAAATGGGCATCTGAAATAAACAGACATTTCTCAAAGAAGTAAAAGCAGCAAATAGACATATGAAAAAATGTTCAGCATCACTGGTCATTCAAGAAATGCAGATGAAAACAACACAGAGATTATCTCACCTCAGAAAGAATGGCTGCTATCAAGCAATCAACGAATAACAAATGGTGGCAGGGTTGTGGGGAGACAGGAACCCTTTTTCATTGTTGGTGAGAGGGCAGATTGGTGCAACCACTGTGGAAGTCAACCTGGAGATATCTCAAACAACTACGATTACAAGTTCCATTTGACCCACAGCTATTCCTCTGCTGGGTGTCTTCCCAAAAGAATTAAAAGAATCATACCACAGCGATATATGCACATCCACGTTTACAGTGGTACACTTTGTAAAAGCTAAAATTTGGAGACAGCCCAATTGCCCATCAACTGGAGAATGGATAAAGAAAATGTGGTTTTGTTTTGTTTATAAAATGGAGTACTACTCAGCCATAAAGAATAAGAAGCTAGAGACATTTATAGCTGAGTGGATATACACTGAGGCAATACTCGTAAGTGAAATTAGTAAGACACACATGTAAATACTCAATAGTCTCTCTGGTGTGAAAAACTAAAAGTGTAAATAGGAATCAAAATGTATAACTGATATTGTATAATAGGAAGAAAAGGTCTAAAAGAGTAGAGGAAGTGGGAGGGGTAGGGGAAAGGGAAAAGAAAAATTATGTAAAAAGGAAAAACATATAAACAATGTCTTTGTAAACAGGGAAGGGTAGAGGGGGTGAAGGGAGGGCAGGGGAATGGGGAAAAAAGAACCAAGATATATCATGTAAAGGTACAAGATCCTAATGATGAGTGTAACTGTATTGTATATCTAAATTGTACCAATAGATTTAATAAAGATTTTAAAAAAACAAAATATGATTTAATCATCACAACACTTGCAAGGCAGTCATATTGTTTTCCATATGGATAAACTGGGCATTGAGAGCTAGGGTCACTTACCAAAGCTTTACACAATTAAAAAATGGCTAAGGCACAATTTAAATTCAAATTATGTTTCCAAAATCCATGTTCTTCTACACTATAGAACCTCTTAAATTCTATAATCAAGGAATAACATGTAAACAAGAGGATGCAAAAATGAGTGAGACATAGTGCCTACCCCTAAGGACATATCAGTTAAAGCTGAAAAGCATACATGCAAATAAGTAAAACAAAATTGACTTCTGTACAAAAGATTCAAAAAACACAAGGGATGGAGTGTTCAGTACTACCTTAGGGGAGTCAGCAGAGCTTTCTGGAAGAGTAGCTGGGCTGAATCTTCAAAGGCAAATGTGTATTTGTTAGTCATAAAGAAATTGAAATACTAAAGAAATGGTTCTGCTCAGAGGGAACAACATAAGAAAATAGAGAACTGTTGTTGCTCAACACCAACAAAATATAGGTATAGGGCAAGGGTGCTAGTGAGATAAGACTAAAGGGAAAGCAAGGTCCAGATTGAAAAACCTTCAGTGGCACTGCGTGTGTGGGCTTTGCACTTTCCTGTAAGTGAATGTCAACAATGAGAAGAGCTTTATGCAAGGCAATTACATAAACATTGGTATTTTAGAAAGCAGAACCTTGGAAGAGGACTTCAAGACTGAAAGCAGAAAGAGCTTAACATCTGAAATAGTCTTGCTAGAAGATGACAACATGGATTAAGGTAACAGCATGAAGGATGCAATGAAAAGAATTGTGATGTGGATAAAAATCTACAGAACAATGTCCCTGCTTGAATGTGGAAGCATAAAAAAATATATTAAAATTCATTTATTGAAGCTATTAAGGTTTATCTACTTTGGTCCCTTTGAAATCCTATTAAAAGCAACATAAAGGATCTCCTTTTCTTTTCAAAGCCCACAAGAATAGC